AGGTCAGGGCATGTATACACACACACACCCACACCCACATGTATTATGGTTTAATCAACCAATTATATCATTTATTTTTACGGTATTGTAATCAAATGTAGGCTAAATATGTGAACTCTATGGCATATAAAGTAGTAAAATAAATTCAGGATATCTATATTTTACTAAACAATAATGTACTGAATTAAATTAAATTGGTATATGATAAGTTAATAAAACTGAGTCATTGTTTTCTCCAGAAATTATTGAACATGGTACTGATGAGATACTCACCACCTCATCCCTCTTCTTTCTTTGAGGTTTCTTTGTCCCTATTTCAGAGTAACTGCAAGAAAAATATAATATAGTCTCACTAATTTGTCAATCAACCTTGTGAATGTGGTCCAATAGAGCAATCTTGTCCAACAGACCAATCTTGTCTTATGTAGACGCTCAATTTACACAGATTCTCTTCAATCAAATGCCAGAACTAAGTTATACCATTACTGGGAAAAAATGTATCTAGTAAAGAAGATTAAAAGAACAAGATTAAAAGAGAGATACTATAATGGTATGTGGGAAAGAACTTGAGAGATGGGGCAAAGAGATGCTGCCTAGAGAATCGTCAGATAAGAGAGGGCATAGCCTGCAGGTTCATAATGCGTGGAGCAAGAGGCTCAGGATGGATCCTCCCTAGCTTCTCAGGCTGTAAAGAAGACAGTGAGAGAATTGTACTTTCAAACTTGCAAGATTCTGCTTATGTAGCTTTACAATAAAGTAGAATTAGCTCATCTGGTCATGTTTCCTGTCTGGCCTGCCTGGGAAGGCTGACAGATACACAGGTCGGACTCAGATTAAGTGAGTCTTAATATATATTATTAACTAATCCTAACCCTAAACCTATATCAGTGACCTAGTACAGTGTGCACATATTTAGCCATTTACCAGTCCTCTAAAACCTACACATAATAATACTGGGGTTCTCACAATAGCTATTTCACAGAAAATACCTATGCAGCAAAAAAAAAAAAAAGTAAAATAACAATACCTTACTACATCAAAATAACTTGTGCTGTAGTTTTTGTTTACTTCAAATGTCACCATTTACAAATATTAATTTAATATGAACAATTTCGCTGCTCACATCTTTACATATATTTGACACATCTATAAGCCATGGAATTTCAATATTACTTAATTACCTGCCAAAATAATGGACAGTATAAGCAGAAAGGGGAAAAAAAGCTTTTTTGATCTAAAAGCTAAACAGATAATAAACTCCCACTTATGCCTATTTTACTGGATCTGTTTTTATTATTAATCACTTTTTAAAACTATATGTTCCTCTAACAAGAGATTTACACATTTTATCACAATTTTCACAGCCATGGAGAGAGTTTTAACTTGATAGATGAGATACTGAAGTTGAAAGCAGCAATTAGAGAGAGTCAAATACAGTTTGTTTATTTTTATCCCAAGGCAAAGGGGAAAAAAATGAATTTTCCTATTCCCTGCCACTGTTGGCATCACTCAAAGCTTCTCAGGAGGAGGATGGAAATTTTAAACTGCTTGGGGTGAGGAAAGGACAATCACCCCAATTCTCCACATTGGTACAGTTTACAATTGACACAGAAACTGACTCACAACCAATTCAGTTTTTTGAGGAGTCCTACATTCTTGCTGACTGCAGCCAGTTGTAACTTGTACCATACTAGTCCTACTTACAGGCCCTGTTTGCAAACACTACCAACCATAATTCCATTCTCTCTGTCAATTGCCTCCCCTTCAGGAATTGGCAGCACATGATCAACTCAATCACTCACCAGCCATGCGTTTATTCCTCAGCCATAAGAGGCTGTCAGTTTCTTCTCCACTTCCTGACATTTTTAGTTTGTTTTCCTACAGAGAGAAAAAGGTTTCTACCCTTTGTGACCTTCTGTGGGGGAGGGGGAAGGGACACAGAGGGACAAACCAAAACAACCCAAGAACTGAAGTCCCAACAGAAGCTCTGAAGTTAACCTTCAGGTAGATAATTTGTATTTAAGTTAGATGTCTGTAGGGAATTAGTTTATGCACAACTGGGTCAATTTTGTGCTAAATCCAACCTCCTTAGGGACTCTTGTCAACAGACTCTTTTTAGTATTCGCAGGACACATGAAACCCTCACCTACTTTTCAAGTTAAGCATGTCATGAGAACCGGGCCACCATATATTTTCGTGGTTCTCTCTAGAGATCTACAAGAGCACAGAGCATTGTGGCTTGATCACATTTTGCTGAAATGGACACAGCTGCCATAGCTAACTAAGATGGAAAAGGAACTCTCACCATTTGGTATCTGGGAATTCATTAGCAAATTCTGGAAAGCTGGCAAGAGGTCTGATCTTTCTATTGTCGAAGGCTTTCACGGCCGGGATACGATGGCTAGTGTGGGTCTTCCGGGCTGTGTGGCCGTGTTCTTGAAGTTTTGTTTCCTAACGTTTTGCCAGCACCTGTGACTGTGGGTGCTAATCACCCCCAGCAGCCCCTTGTTAACAATTCAATAGAAGAAAAAACCCTGACTAATCCCCAGGAAGATACACACAGATGCTGACACCAAAACAAGCAGCCACTCAG